CTTGATATGGATAAAAGTTACGTCTGATTGACCGATCCATGACATCTGGTGGATTTGAATTAATTGAATTCATTCTCCAAGCCTCCACCACCGTTGTGTTTTCCGCCGCATTATGTGTTGAATATCTACTTTCACTGTTGTCTCGTGTTCAGCTTTGAGTGTTGTGTGGTTAAGGTCCAGTGCCACAATATGGTTAATAGAAACACCCAATTTTTATTAGAATCTGAAATATATGGTTCATGAACAGTAGTAAAAGGAACAGTAGCTCAACAGACTGACTAGATTCGTCCAATTTTACCACATTTAAGGCACTTAGCATGACGAAATTCCCATGATTTATGTGAGTAAAATTTATCACAGGATAAGCATTTACCAAACACGTACTCACCCATTTGATCTGCTTTGAATTTCCCCAATGAATCGTCATCTGTTTGACACTGAGTACGCATTGGATTAAGATAACTGAGTAATGCGGTAAAATTCTTGATGTGCAGGCGAATGGTTTAATGAAGTTCTGATCCTTGACGGCATTCGAAATTGGTACGCTGTGAATAGTTTAGCAGACGATTGTTGAGAATTACATAGAGAAGTGAAATTGGTTTATCTGGAAATGCCAACGTTTCAATAAGTTGTAGGCATCCTCTCCGATGAATGAAAGGAAATGAGCCACAATTTTATCAGCCTTAACATGTTTCCTGATCATACTCAAAATTTCAAACCATCACATGTGATCATAGGAAGGTGAGAATTTGCATGTACATTGAAATGTTCAAATGCAGGATTCATCGCAACGCCAATATGATAATAATTAGTATTCGAATAATTGTTCTAACTAGGAATTACTGAGAAAATGCAACTTCAGTCAGACAGAACCAGCCGAACACTTATGGGTGGGTTGGGGGTAGGTGTAAGTTTCGAATGCTGCTGGGGTTGTTAGGGTTTGTTTGGGGACCTACAGTGTGGGGGAGGGTATTTTAGTCTTATGCGAGTGGGGGGTGGCAGTGCGGGGGTACGTGGATGGAATAGCGAGGTAGCGTGGTTGTTTTGGTTTAGGTGGCGGGGTGTTGTTGGGGGTAGCCGTTGGTTCGGGGGTTCCGTTGGTATCAGGTAGTAGGTGGTTTCAGGGCTGTGGAGACTGGCGCAGCGATGTGTGACATGGCGAGGGGGGATTGGAGACGGGTGGTCTGAGGGGGGGAGACTGTGATAGCAGGGTGGGAGAGTGACAGCCTGGTGGGGGCGATCGATTTATCAATTCAAATGAACTTTGGAACGGTTGCAAGGGGTGGTGGGCGGTCTGGGGGACGTATCGCGCCGGGGACTACGCGGGGGTGTGGGGGCTGATGACTGATGGATGGCTGGAAGCAGGTGGAGTCCCTTCTAGCGGGACAACCTATGTTGTAACGGAAGTTGTAATGTAATATTCTGAAATGCTCACATATACTTATAACGTTTATTGTACTTTTCATTGTATCTATCATTATCATTACTGTACCCTAATCACTGTAGCGGTTATCCACAGTTTTGTGCATTTGTTTAAACGTAACAGTTTCCACAATTTCAATTCTTGCCGACATATTTATGGGACATCTGGAACAAAAGAAACTGAAGCACGCAATCGACAGTACCACACTCTACTGCAGATATATGGATGACACGTTCCTTGTCTGCAAAAATCGCCAAGACTCCATGTACCTACTTAGTCTGTTCAGTAAAGTACACAAAGATATAGAATTTATCATGGAACATGAAGTTGATGATAAATTCCATTTCCTAGGTATTGGAATTAGGCGAATATCAGATGGCACACTACAAAGACACATTCACCGCAAAAATACTTGGAGCGGAGTTTATCTCAATTTTAACAGCTTTTGTCCAATGAGTTATAAAAAAGGTATTGTGCTAAACCTTTTTGACCGCGCACGAAAAATCTGCTCAAAAGAATGCCTCGAAGAAGAAATTACTACAATCACCAAATGCCTACGTGAAAATGCATATCCGGATAAATTCATCCACAAATATGCTAATACAAACCCTCCGATTAAGCATGATACTGTTGAAAAGAAAACCTGCTTCCTATCCTTGCGCTTCAAAGGAGATGAAGTCGCCGGAATTATCAGTCACAGAATTAATTCCGCTTTAAAAGTGACCTACCCGGCAGCCAAACTGACTACGTTATGGAAGACACACTGCTCACTGAAGCAAACGAAAATCGACAAGTCCTCTCCTCTCAGTTGCTCCAACTGCATTTACCAATTCACATGTACGTGCCGTAGCACATACATTGGAAGAACTGAAAGAACAGTACAGGTTCGCGTTTCTGAGCATATTCCGAAGAACTTGACGCTGCGAAGGACTAAAGCTTTTAACAGTGCAATAGCTTGGCATCTATTTGACACCGGGCATACCGTCGATATTATGCGCACGTTTAAAATTATCAATAGACAAAGAACTACTATCACTCTCCGCTTTGCTGGTTAATACAGGGCTAGGAAGTATATAACGGTTTAACGGTCGGTGGTGACACCTTTTGTGTACGGGTTGTTGTAGGTGATAGTAAAAGGGGTGGGGGGGGGGGGAGGGAGGGGGGGGGGGGGGGGGGTGGGTGGGGTGGCTGGGTTAGGTGAAGTTGTGTGGGGGTGTCGTCACAAAGTGGTACGTTGGAGGTTTTGTTGTGCGGGTGGCATCTCTGGGACTACTCTGTGACGCAGGTTTGATGCGGATAGGGGCTTTACAGTGGGTGGTGGTGAGTGGGTTGCGAACGGAGAAGGTGGGTTGGCCTGGTTCGAGACTTGGTACTCTCTTGGGAGGAAGGATACGTTTGTTGTGTCACCTCCCCCGTGTGGGAAAGCTGGCACTCGGTCGTGTGAGTGTATGTGAGTGAGTAGTGTGTGAGTGGGTTGAGGGGTTCCCTGGGTTGGTCTCGAATGTATGTCAATTGTTTCACTCTATCTCAATGTAAAAATTCTATCACATTTTTGGGTTGTAAGCAGCTGACGAGAAACCTCGAAATAATATGAATTCTTACTATCCCGCAACAATGTTTGTTCTTGCTCTATTTAAGTTTCCACAATGTTTTGCTCTTGGATTGGGTTTTGGTTGTTCGTAAACTGTTGTCAAATTTAGACACAGCTATCGGCTGTCTTTTGTACTGTCGTATGTTATAATTATTCTTCATGTTACTGTTACAGGAATGCTTTTTATTTTCATACTTGAAGGACGCGTTTAAACGCCACAGACACCTCACAAGTTGAGGTTTGTAACTAAATTTTGTGTATTGTTTAATGAAGAACCGCTATTGTAGACAAATCGTTGTTTTGGAAAATCCGGTTTTGCGCGTATCTCAATCGGGTGACTTGGACGCTTCGATAGATCTAACAATCACATACCCAGGAACTGGTTGGAATACTGCGTGTTCAATCTGGCTGGTTTTGGATCATTATTAGTTGTCACAACTGGTCCTGTGGTGTGTGCTACTTTTATTGACATAATTAGTATGTGTAGTTAGTCGTTTATCCGTTTAATCAGATTAATCGGTGAATTACGTTCATCATCACTGTCACGCTAACTGTCAAACAATTTCATCACATCACGTAATGAACGTTGAACATTTATGAAGATATAGTACATCACACCATAGTACTGTTTCCTTGTAGTCAGTCCGTCATGAAATACTATAAACAACAAATGTAGTTTGGAACCCGAATAATGTCTTTCTTCACCCCCTTACTTCTTACTGATTTCGGGGTATGCAGAATAGAAAAAGGTGTCTCCTGAAACGACTTCATTTCATCGTACTCTATAGAGTCTTCACCGTAGACAAACAGTCTTTGTATGAAGTTATGGTTCATTGTGTAATTTTGTGCATAACTACCGGGTACATCCCACTTATCCGTGGTTGTGATAACGAAAGTTTGGTTGTTTGGCGAAAGTTCATTCAAACCTTGAAATATGGCCGTCCCTCCAGACCTTATAATGTGTTAATGTTAGAGCCATTTGAGTGTGGCGTGGAGTCACGGTTGACTATGGTCACTACTACAAGAAGACTACGTGCCAGTTAATCGATAAGATCCCTGTAGTCCAAATATCAGAAAGCAATTGTTGCGGTCAATACTTAAACACACCAAAGTCCACACAGATTACTGCACAAAAACGTGAACCGCTATGATACCTGTTGGACTATTTGCCATCTACAAAGATTGAAAATACCTCAACAGTGAAATTGATGTACTTAATTTACTTGAGAATAAGAGTTTGTATTAATAAATATGTACGCATAATACTTTGATGAAAGAAAGTAATAAAATTACAACTGAATATTTTTCAAAAGGTAAGTGGAGCGCGTTACACTTACAGTTTCAGAATCGTTCGTTAGCGCGGATCGAAGTCTATCTTAAGAGAATGAATGACCAGAATATCGTAACAGTCATTTCCACACAAAAAAAACAAGCACAGAACACACAGACCTGTTTAAAATCACACGGATCTCGAAATAGACATCTAAAATTACTAAGTATTCCTTAAACCAGTCATCGTGTAAAGTATGACAAAATGCCTGAAAATCCACCACCGATTAATCAAACGAAAAAATATATCTGATAATCAAACAATACGCATATTCACTAACAATAACATAACACTATACCAAAATTCACGAGTTCATATGCATATATTTAGTAAAGAGCACACAACAATTATAAGCACATGAAATTCCTCGATTAGTATCGACAATATTTCCTTCGACGTTTCGATTCACTGATACATTGAACCATTCCATTTTCCCCATAAACACACTTCTGAATGGAGGAAATCCTTTTCAATCCGGATTTCATGAAGTCATCAATGCAGGCACCATGTCCAATAGCAGCGTCCTTGCCAGAGTAGTTGACGTCTCTGTGATTAATAAATATGAAATGAAAAGTGACACAAATGTTTGAACATCCATCTTAAATGTCTACTTACAAGCAAATTAGAACGTGCATGAAACAGGCAAAACGTAGACATTAAACATAATCATTAAAGTGATTTGATCTGGAAACGTACTCATATAAACGCCAATATGGTGGCTGTCCCTTCGAATCATGTATCAAAGGTACACAAACAGATCCAGGTATCCATGGTGGTGAGAGTGAGCCAACGCTTTTGTACACGTCAGTATATGAACCATTCTCATACGTTCCATCGTACAATCGTAGGCAATACTTGCATGGATTTGATTTGGTTATGCCTAATTGATTTATCAATGTGTATGACAATAAAGCAATGAGAAATATCGAATTAGCTGACATTGCTTTTTCGTTTTGTTCTTGAGATGAATTAGTTGATTGACGCATTTATATAGTTTTCAGTAGATGTGAGATTTCAATAAATCGCTTAATCCACAGTGGATATGTGATTGTCATGATTTGTGCGGAATTATCAGCGTCAACAATTCAGAAGAGAATGAAATGATCATTGTGATAGGTGTCACGGTTAATTCCCATGTTACGTGACTATGTTTGTATTGTTGATCACGCAGCTTGATGAGGTTGTTTGAGAATCAGCATCATGTAAATTGAAACATGGGTATCATGCACACTATCTTATTGTTCACGGATGATCATTGAGTGAATTGATGAATGAGTGGTGACTGGTTGACCCTCCAACTTCTAGTTTGTCTAAAACAATATAGCAGTGTCAGAATAAAACCGAATAATGAAATCGCGATTACACACACACGTTTAGAAACAGAATGAATGATGTAGTGGTGTATTTTCATTCATTCATTCTTATTTTATGTAGATCTATGTATTGATAGTCACAAGTATATAGGTTTATAAAGATTACTAGTAAAGAATTGTCAGAATGTGAATATGGATAATTGATGTGCGACTGATTATATCAATTTAATTAGTGTTCAATTTATCTTGTGGAATGGGTTATTTCAAGGTGTCGACTGCATTAGGAATACTGAAGGGAGGATGATGGACAAACCAGGAACAATACGCTGTCGTTTATTTTCTTGTAGTAAGCAAGGGCTAACCTTGATTGGGTGACAGTAGCTCATTAAATGAGATGAAAACTAACCCGAATGAACTGATTTCAGCCACCAATTTACTGGGATAGATACACAGTCGGATGTCAATTGGAATATACGAAAGTACCTACTCAGCGATTGATGGGTGGCTCTGAATTTGTGGGCAAGAGAAACATGCGAGTAGGTTCAGTGACAAACAGAACAACATGTGCAAGTCTATAAAGCTTGCTCCAGCTTACCCGTGGACAATTTTTGAAGCGAGTGTGGATGCGTGAGTGGACAAACGAAAGGATTCCAAATTACCGGTTTGAACGTTGGAACACGTCAGGTAGGCGTTTGATAACGGCGACTTGTCACAACGTAATCAGCCAGCAGTTAATTGAAGTGTGTTCAACGATATTTGATTATTGGCATGTAGTAGAATAACATTATCATGTCGGTTGTATTTCTTCTTTCAATGAGCATGACAGAAATTTATCGACTCGTGGGTGCAGTTTGAGTTTGTTTTCATAATTGTTTGCACTTTTAATATTAAACAAGATGTATTCGTGTGATCGAGTGGAATGCAGAGAATTTGGATGAACCGATCATGCATAGGTTAGCCACATTTGTTAAAATTGACTTGACGAGTCGTCAGCTGGATGTTGTTGTTTTGAATTACACCAAGAAAATCAGTATTGCGCAACATAGGGTTGTCTTATTAAGAGTTATGATTTATTCTCATGGTCAGTTTCATGGAGAAATATTATTCAGCGGTCGCTGTGCGTCTGAGCTATTCGTGTATTGACCACATCCGCAACCACACTGTCGGGTATGAGACCCGGAAATTTCGATCAAGTGGGGAACGTAGAGAATAACCGCACAGTGATTCTTAGGTTTCAAAGATAATCTAACAAGGATCATTCCGTCATGTGACCTAGAGAAATCTAGTGATCTGCAAAACAACGTTGAACTAACTGTTCATTCGTCAGAGCATATTACTACGGTGAAATCAGAAATCTCTCATTACATGTCAAGTAAAATACACTAATACATTATTCATTCTGTTTCTTAACGTATGTGTGTAATCGAAATTTCATAAAATAGCTCTATTCCCACTGGTATATTGTTTTGGACGAAGTGGTATTTCGAGGGTCATCCAGCCACCACTCATTCATCAATTCACTCAATGATCATCCGTGAACAATAAGATAGTGTGCATGATACCCATGTTTCAATTTACATGATGCTGATTCTCAAACAACCTCATCAAGCTGCGTGATCAACAATACAAACATAGTCACGTAACATGGGAATTAACCGTGACACCTATCACAATGATCATTTCATTCTCTTCTGAATTGTTGACGCTGATAATTCCGCACAAATCATGACAATCACATATCCACTGTGGATTAAGCGATTTATTGAAATCTCACATCTACTGAAAACTATATAAATGCGTCAATCAACTAATTCATCTCAAGAACAAAACGAAAAAGCAATGTCAGCTAATTCGATATTTCTCATTGCTTTATTGTCATACACATTGATAAATCAATTAGGCATAACCAAATCAAATCCATGCAAGTATTGCCTACGATTGTACGATGGAACGTATGAGAATGGTTCATATACTGACGTGTACAAAAGCGTTGGCTCACTCTCACCACCATGGATACCTGGATCTGTTTGTGTACCTTTGATACATGATTCGAAGGGACAGCCACCATATTGGCGTTTATATGAGTACGTTTCCAGATCAAATCACTTTAATGATTATGTTTAATGTCTACGTTTTGCCTGTTTCATGCACGTTCTAATTTGCTTGTAAGTAGACATTTAAGATGGATGTTCAAACATTTGTGTCACTTTTCATTTCATATTTATTAATCACAGAGACGTCAACTACTCTGGCAAGGACGCTGCTATTGGACATGGTGCCTGCATTGATGACTTCATGAAATCCGGATTGAAAAGGATTTCCTCCATTCAGAAGTGTGTTTATGGGGAAAATGGAATGGTTCAATGTATCAGTGAATCGAAACGTCGAAGGAAATATTGTCGATACTAATCGAGGAATTTCATGTGCTTATAATTGTTGTGTGCTCTTTACTAAATATATGCATATGGACTCATGAAATTAGTATTCTGAGAGTTAACACGATGACAGGCATATGGTGTGTTTGAAAATTTGAAAGATCTTATTTGGATTGTTCAACGTAGAATTGAAATTATCACATTAACGCTATCATTGCTAATCGCATATGAGTAGGTTGGCACTCAAAGTGAGTTGTTTATATTTGTCAACGAAATTTGCATAATGTGATAGGGAAAACATACTTTCGTGGAGACCATGATGTGAAATAACACAGTTATTCATTGTGGCACAGTCGCCCATTTCCCAGTCACTTTGTTGACCTGCATTACTTGTCGATAAACGGGCAGATTGATTGATTGATTGATTTAATAGAACTCCAAAGGCCACGTTATTCACAGTCACACAGTGATGCACACATTATGTGTCCGTTGTTTCCACCTACCTCCGTGAGTTCCGGGCAAAATATGGTTTTATCAGGACAGATAAACCGACTTGTTATAGTTCTCGTGTTTCACCCAATCCGTCAACAATTCAGCAAAGAGTTTTAATTTTTCATCATCTTCAGTAATCAAATTCAGACAATATATGTTCCAATATCACAAACAATATGCTTGCACTCATTTCATGAGTTGGTAGTTGAATTTCCAACATTTCGTGACTTTTGTGACTGAGCGTATAAAGATAAATAACAAATGAGGGTAGCACAGTTCTGAACAGTACAAAGCACAGAGATCAGAATATATGTTTGATTAGCTTCTGTCACGTGCCTGATCTGTCTGTGACAGTAGTAAATTGGAGAGAACTTTTGTCGATCTCCGATGAGGCATTAACACGATAGGCTTGTTAGTTCACCGTTGAGGCTCGAAAAGCGTGAGTCTGGATCGAGACTAACTTCTCTGTGTAGACAGACGAAAGATAGTCAACCATGTGACTGGTTGACAAGCGATGGGGTGAGAGAGAGAGAGGGTGATAGAGAAGACCAATCAACCGAAACACTACGCAGTTTGTTCGCGACTGCGATTCAGATTAGTGTGTAAAGACACACGAATTTATAGGTGACTAACACAAACACAACGCACAAGCAATCAGGTAAATGCAGTTGTGTTCAATTTAAACATCGAGGTAGAATAGTGGAGTACAATGATTACGTTCAACTCACTTAATTTAGCTGCGCAATAGCTTAGGGTTTGTTTTCAGTACAAAATAATATATATTCCATCCTAGAAATCCCAAAGGTCAGTTGTGAATGGTTGACTTATTTTGAGCATGTGGTACGAGTTGGTGGTTTCAGGTTTTTGAAATGTGTATAAAACAAATAAATGGTGTCACACAAATGATTTATTCTGCGAACCTACTCAAATATACGCCGAAACGAGACACGTTCATTGAGATTTTCATGAAAGGGTAAAAATACGGTTCTGGGAATCCATAGTGATGACAGTAGCCTACCACACCATAAATGTCATTACGTTTTCTTCGAAATTGTAAATTATGAGAAGTGAATCAGGCATAAAACGAAAGCCTATATATTTCGTAAAATAACCAATTCATTCAAACAGGATATGCAATTTTACTGACCAATGTCTAACTTCCAGGGTCGAAAATGCGAACTAAACTGGAAGTTGAATACGTTTGCAATTATCATGTTGACACACGTCGCATCAACATGTATCTCTCGAATCTTGCTCACACACTATTATTCCCTGAATAGTACTTCAGATGTATTCCGAACCAAGCGCCCACCGTCAACGAATACTGAGATCTGACAACAGAAACGTGATTTGTGGTAGTCAGCGAAGGTCTATGTTATATTAATCTATTTCAGTGCCATTGCAGAACTGACTGCCATGATGATCAAGCTACTTCAGTCAATCAATTGGCTGTCACTTTCATTCACTTTCAACAATGCACAATGTAGTAGAACGCTGACTGAAGACCAATTCAGTTTGTGAGAAAAGATGTACGCTTATTTATGCGACAGTAACTCGCTGTAACTCGAGTTCAGGTTATGAATGAAACACTGGTAGCGTTTTTATGTCTAAGATCTCGGATGTGCAAATGATCAGTGGTGTGTTTGATAAACACAAACACGTCTGGCAAACCAAAATACAGAGAGAGAGAGTCACCATTGACTGAAAATAAAATATTCATGTAAAATATTTGTAAAAATAATTGAAAAGATAACTTGAATGAATAAACTAGGATTCAATTCATAGAAGATTTGTTGTAAGACCAAT